CAGTGCTCAGAGTCGTACTTTGGTCGACGCGTCTTCCCAAAAAGCTGCACTCGCATCCTCCACCATCCATCGCCCCGACGCGCTCCATCGTGAACGTCGCCGCCGCCCATCGCCCGCTGCCGTTCTCCAGTCGCGCACTTGCCCAACATGCAACCGAACTATCGGCAATATAATTATCCGCCGCAGCACAATGTGGCAGCGACGCCTGCCCGCCGTGGTCCAGGTAAGTGCGATCCAGCCCAATATCTCTCCCAGCGTCCCCACCCCTCGCCGAGCTGTTTTGCGCGCGTCACAAGATGATCAGTCGGACTGACTTGGATCACTTTTTCCGCAAACCAGGCCCCATTGTCCATCCCCAGCATCCGGCCGCCCAGCAGTTCAGCAACGCAAACATGCAGGCGCAACAGCGCGCCGAGGCCGAGCGCCGCGAGAAGATGCGCCGCATTGCAAAGAACCCCACCGACAAAAACATCCCCGAGGGGGTCGACGAGATCTGCATTGGCGATGGCGTCGCCCGCTACAAGGAGCTGCGCGAGGTCGAGCGCACCCTTGATGCGACCATGATGCGCAAGAAGCTCGATGTCATGGACTCCAAGCACCACTCGCGAGCATCGCGCTTCGGCACCATGCGCATCTGGATCTCCAATACCGTCGAGAACCAGCCCTGGCAGAGTGGTGGCATTGACGCCGATGCCTTTGATTTCGAGAGCGACACCAATGCGACCTATCGCGTTAAGATTCAAGGTCGCCTCCTCGAAGACCAAACCGACGATGGTCTAGAAGAGGAAGATGAGGATGAGAAGGACGCAGACGCCATGTATGTCAGGTTCCATTACGAGTGACTCTGCGTATCCGATCGGCCGGAGACCTTGCGATATCATGTTTGATATGGACTAACGACTCCACAGGGACGAAGATGACGCTGAGGACAAAAAGCCCGCCGCTAAACCCAAGCAGTTCTCAAACTACTTCACCTCCATCGCAATCGACTTTGATCGTGCCAAGAGCTTACAGCCCGACAACTTCACCCAGATTGAATGGAAGCGGCCCGAGAACCCCACCACCAAGGAGAGCAATTTCAGCGAGCTAGAGTTTGAGCGCAAGGGCGATGAGAACATCAACATCACAATCAATCTCCAGCGATATCAAAATCCAGAGGTGTTCCGGCTCAGCAAGCCTCTAGCAGAGCTACTAGATACGGATGAGGAGGATCGCGCGGGCGTATTGATGGGCATCTGGGAATATGCACGATCTCAGCATCTACAACAAGACGACGATGAGCGCAAGTTTGCTTGCGATGCAAAGCTCAAGGCTCTCTTTGGCGGCCAGGACTCGTTCTACTTCCCAAATCTTCCCCAGCTGATTAAGCCACACCTCACGACTCTGCCGCCCATCCAGCTGCAATACACAATTCGCGTGGATAAGGACTACATCTCTCCAGCTTCCGAGTCTGGCAAGGCCGCTTCGGAACCTACCATATACGACGTCCAGGTCGTTCTCGAAGATCCCATGCAACCTCTGTTCCAGGACATTATTCGTCGTCCAGACAGCATCCAGACCCTGCAAGAGATTCAGAAGATAGACGAGCAATTGGTCCTGCTTATGGGCGCTATTGGCCAGTCCAAGGCCAAGCATGCATTCTTCACCAGCATGAGCAAGGACCCCGTCGCATTCTTCAAGCGCTGGCTTTCGAGTCAAAAGCGAGACTTGGAAGTCCTCCTCGGCGAGGCCACGCGCGGCGGAGGCGAAGATGCATCTGGCGAGGAATGGCGACGCGGAGGTGCCGACGGCGTGTGGGGCAGCGAAGTCGCAAAGGAGAGTGTTGCGCTGTGGCTCGCGAGATCGAACATCAAGACTCATTAGTGGTTGCGTCGGTAATCTGTCTGTCTCTGTTTCCTTGTATTAGGACTGTATGTAGTGTCAGTCCGTGGCGTTTTAAATGGGCACGGCGCGCTGGAAGTACTGGGGCGCAACAGGGCGAGTTTAGGTTATGCATTGTATTGGATACCCGAGCTGCAAAATACTAGCATATTTACAATAGAGGTCTGACCTGCGTGCGGTTGCTTGACTTGCTGTGCTGTAGCACGCAACTTTGGTGTCTAGGGACTTGGGTATGATGGACGGCGAGGTAGGCATCGAGCATGGCTTTTGTGCTAGTTGTTTAAAGAACTTGGCTGTGCTGCTTAGCTGCTTGGGAGCGTAGAAGGTACTTATGCATGAAGGCTTGATCAAGAAAGTCTGAGAGAGTCGTGCCTCATGCTAAGAGTATGCAGCGGGAGCTTCTCAACCTTGTTCCAATGAACACAACGCAGCGTTTGCCCCGGCGCAGTGAAAGAAGACGTCCTCACACTGACTGTCACAGACGTCCTTGCACATTCTGTCCCAGTGCATGGAATGCATTTTGGCGAGAGGGTAAGGCGAGAGAGTGTGCCTGTGGGTACGAGAAGAGTGAGTGAATGAACCGGTTTATGTATGTTTAGGTGTATGCGTGTACGTACGGTGTACACATCTTACCTATACTCCAATCTCCTGTGTAGTTTAGTTAATTTGTTGCCAGGACACAGGGGCTTTAAGGGACACAAGGGACGTGATATGCAGAATGCTATCTGCATTACGATGAGTAAGGGATGCTGGGTTCACTTGGCTTGCTGGATTTATAGCTTCTTTCTCTATGAGCGAGGTTGGTTCGCCGTGTGGACGCAGGGGAGGTGGTAGTGTAGAGGAGTGTCTTGATCCTTTAAGGGTGGAAATTGGCGTGATAGCGTTAAGGTGTATTCCTCCCATGGCACGGTGAGGCCAGTGCCTCTTCCAACTCCCAGCATAGCTTTCAGCGATATCTGATATTCTTGTTCGGACAGGATGAACTCGAAGTCGACATCTTTAGATCCTGTTGGCATCCCGATAGATGCTGCCAAGGACATTGCGTCGCTGTTCCCGAATTTCTTCCTGGTGGCTTCGGGGTAGGAGCGGGTTGCCAGTAGAAGCACTTTGCTTAGCATCTTCCATAGTTCGAGCACGGCCTTTGACATGGCGTACACTCTTTAAGCGGTTCTTGTTGGTTGGATTTATGTCTGTTGGAGAACGGTCGTAGACCTTTACAAGAGCGTTGACCCGATCGAGATGTAAAGCCTGGCTGATGGCGAATTTCTTGAATGGCGCATCACTTACCTGAAACCATAGAGAGACAACATAGTTGAAAACGATAGCGCAGTTCTCGGCTATAGAGTCTCTAGGGCTCTTACTAAGTGTAGACATTAGTGTATGCAGCAGTCTAGGGTCAGCGCGGCGAATGTTTCTAAGGGCAGCCTTGACATAGCTAAGTTCTGGTCGCGTGTTCCTGTGGTTGTACGGTGTCCATACTTCTTGTCGTGCACTCCGCAGATGTTACCTAGGTAGTAAACACCTCCATGTCTGTCAGAATGCGCGAGGTGTTCAAGAAAGCCTGCAGGGCCGAGCCTTTGAGAAATAGAATACCTTGCTGGGTCCTATGATCTGGTACCTACCTGGTTTTGTAGAGGACGGTGGTGCGTGAATACTTTCAATTTAGCCATTCCCCAACGCCGCGCTATCAAGAATGCATCAAAGTCCTTCCCACAGACCTTATTCCCAGGCCCAACAGCACCACAAATGGTGGCCCAGTGTTGATGTTGTCCATGCCGAGTCGGCGCGGAAGGGACGTCCGGATCTTCCAGGTAGCGTTCTCCTCTACGCTGAGAGAGGACGGGCTTTCTGAATCGCACGTTCACATCCGGTGAACTATATACTATGTCAGTCAGTATATAGGAGGACTGCGATGATTGAAGTAATAGCACTTACCTAGGTACCTGTAGGTTTGATAATTCCATCTCGGAGTTTTAGCGGCATCTTCTATGCAATCTTGGACAACTACAGCCACATACACATCCACAGCCCAAAAGTCCTCCACGGCTATGTATACTCCGTCGGTGATCAGGATAATCGTGCCTGTCGGTCTTTGTAGCGCTTAAGCCGTGAGGGGGAAGGGTTTTGCGGCAGTGTGAAGTCGCATAGAGAATAATCTGCTGTTGGTGAACTTGGTAGATTATGATTTGTGAGGCTACGGGGTGCCGTGAGACTCTCGCCTTCGTTTAGCTTAAAAGCTGCGTAGACGGATGGGAACTACTCTCCCCGCCCCCGAAAGCGTTATAATTTACCTAAAAAACCCCAGGCCCTACACTGCCCTTCTGTCAACCTTACTTCCCGATATCCGTGGTGCCTCCTCCCACACCAAGCAACATGAGTGTCTCCTAGCTGTGCGTTGAGAGAAGAGGCTGCCCAGATCTGACCTACGGCGGCCTTACTCTATTCTCGGCATGGTAAGTGACGAGCGCTTCGATGAGCCTGGCGGCAGCAATAAGTCCACGCCGGGCCACAAGCTACTTACATGAGGGTTTATTTTTTAACGTGTTTCCTAGGGCTTTAGATAGCGAATACTTGTAATAGACAGTAGTTATTGTTGAGGGGGAATTATAAGATAGGGGTGCATTTCAGTATGGCAGATGGATTTACAAGTCCACGCCTTGTCTTTGCCACTGTCATCCTCGCAGTCTCCTGGCCAAATCACTTGGTCTGAGGTTTTGTGCTCTTCGCAGAGCATTGTTTTTTTGTTTTTGTTTCTGTTTGACTTCTAGGCTCTTCTTGACAATGAAGTATGCTTTCTTCGTAGGATCGTTGCTCCCCAGACTATATTTCTTGGAGAAAGTCTTCTACTGTTTACCTTCTTAATATGTTCTCAGGCTGCTTGCTCCATTCCTCTTGTCGGTGTGGTGTTGTGGACAAACGTTATCATCTTGTCGATTTCAACGTCCACCAGCACGCTAGAACTTCTCTTCAACGTCCATTTCGGGATTCTCTATAGCTTAGGACTTAGAGGATAGTAAAGGTTTGCTGCTGCACATGTTCGTTGGTGGTACTGGAGCGGTAGAGCTCTTGTTCTCAAACAAAAATCAACAAACGTTCAAAAAAACTGCAAAAAAGAACGGGGCCTGACCGGGATTCGAACCCGGGGCCTCCTGCAGAATAGGTACGCTAAGCCCAAAGCAGGAATCATACCACTAGACTGGAGAGTTGTTAGAATTGGTGTGATCGGAGGTGGTGGCTGAAATGTGTAACTTACCCATCAGGCCGTTGTTGTTTTGTTGATGGAAAATCTCTGACTTAATTAGAATATATTCTCATCAAAAATCTGCAAAGTTACGGTCTAGATCTTGGTGGGCTGTGGAATGGGACGCCACTGGACGCGGGACGCCTATCTGGAACGGCCGGCTAATTCCCGGAACCAAGCATTCTCGAATCAAAGCTTGCAACACGGGAAACTCGGGTAGCACTTGTGGACTCAATCGGGCCTTTGTGTGGAGACTGCTGAGCGGATATAATTGGCTGTTATGTTGCACTGTTCCAAGCTACCTCCTGACTCTACTCCAGCAAGAACAAGTTTGGATGCCAGGTCTAGGATGTCGCTGGATATGTGAATTAACATAGTTCTATGCGCTTCAATCTAACGATTTCGTGGTTGGTAAAGAGTAATGTTCCTTATTTGCAGCCCCGAGCAAAAGCTGCAAGGGGCTGACTTGTTTCTGATGCCTGCGCAACTCCAACTACTTTAGGCCCTCCAGCAGTATCCTCCAGGGTTTTTAGATGCAGCAAAACTGCTGTAATGGAATCGAACATCATTATTTGTCGATTTTGTCAATTGGTGGTTTGTGCAGTAAGGGTCACACAGTTGCGCTCGTGACCTGCAAAATGGAGACACCAGGCACGGTGCTTTAAACACAACTGTGGGACGTAAAATTCGCGATCATGGTTCATGGCTCGTGAAAATCCTTTAAATGCACAGTTAACAGGATCCGAGTTACCTCTTTTCCTGAGGAGACTGAATAGTGCTGAAGTATAAGTCTCATGATCATGACATTCCAGCCCCCTTCTTGCTCTTCATTTCAACTACGAATTTCGATACTATATATACAACGAATAGCCCGTCAGTGGACACACTTACCTCATTAATAATTCCTATGTAGGACGAACACGTACGTAGATACATGTAATTTGAATTGTTTAAGCATTTCTCAAAACAGTAACACCAGTCAATGAAATCAATCATCATTCTAAATTAATCAAGAGATATACTAATTGTTTATTTCTCCCCAAAGATAGGGTATACCAGAATTTCTTCTCTATTCCATACTCCCAGTGTCAAAACTACGGTCAAGTTTGATCCATCGTTCAAAGACTCGACTCCGCGCCCTTATTGCCTTCAAATAATACCTAATTACGGATACTGTGATTCGCTATTCTAAGCTCTAGGAAACATGTTGAAGAGAAATCCTAATGGTCTTAGCGGGCGCAGACCTACTGTATATCTCCATAGTACAGCCTGGCAAACGAACACGCAAGATTCTATCGTATTACTGTGCCCAAGACTGAATTCCTTCCTTTACAATTACTGTCTTCTTAAAGCTCTGGGACGTACTCTGCATATAACATTTTAGTGAAATCAGCTAGCGTAAACTTGTTGTAGGTCTCAACAGCACAGCACTCTGAACGAGCATGCGCAACTTAGTATCAGTATCGCTCTCAAGATGTAACTACCATCGGTCACAATTCCCCGCCAATTGCATCACCCTGGAGAACTTTGAAGAAGTATGTCGATATAATTAGTTGACGCAGCCGTCCTGAAGGCGCTACAGCACCATTGCATCATGAACAGATGTGCAACAACAACATACTGCTACCCTTCAGGGAACACCCTTGATCACAGTGCTCCGTTTCCGCTATGAACACTCCGGGAATCACTACGAAACAACGCTTTCCTCAGTCTCAAGAATAAAAGAGCAGTCACAGTAACAACGTACCTACTCCCACCCGCAATATTAGCCTCATCGAGCAATTGAATGATATCTTGCCATCAAGCCTTGGGACAAGGCGGCAACCTAGATTATCGAAGACGAGATGCTCCTGACATAACTTCCGTTTCAAAGTGGCTACGAACCAGTACCTAGGTTCAAACTTGATAGGTTTTTCGACCCAGAGGAAGCCACAGCACAGTTTGACTATTGATCAAGAAAATACTGACTTGCGTGAAGAAAGCAGCCCTTCAAGATATCACACAAGGTATCTCGCAAAGAACCAGTGCTGAGCTTATCTACAAACCACTAAAGCACAGTTACATACACACATTCGCGCATCAGCGTCCTCCACACAAAAATATCTGAAGTCGACTCGCTCAACAATCCAACTTGAAGGATTCTGCACTACATTTTAACATTGCCCAAGGTAGACCCAAATAGAGGGAAAAAACTTAGAACTACAAGTAATACCCAAGCATGTTCCGCAAAAATGATGTGCTGGGGCCATTTTTAAACCACTAAAGCGGAATTCAATAAATATATGATAGGTGCACATCAACGCCCTCTACGGGTGTACCAGACCACAGCACTCAGCCAGGGAATCTGCTTGAACGCTATCACATCACATTTTCAGGAAGGATCAAGAAACTACACTACACTGCTACCCTGTGGCCACCGGGCGAGACGCTCGACAATAAGATGCCCGGGATATGTCGGATGAGTTCGCAGGTGTTACGAAGCCATAGAACTGCAGTAGTATCGTTATTCTGCTCATTCAATATACTCGTCATTTCACATAATGATGTCGACTCGAGCAGGGACAGACCGATGATCTGGCAATTGGTATCGCTTGAGCACCATTTACATCAGGGAATTCACGGATGCGAATAAACATGCACGGGTGCTCACTCCATTTTAAGGCGATTTGGGCTCTATGATTTTTACAGTCCTCGAATGCCAAACTTGATGCTGTGTACAGTTACCGTTAATCAAGAGCGCAAATATTCCACTCCTATAGTACTTCAACTGTCCCGAAAAGGTACCTTATAGGCAAGGAAGCATTTAGTCGGGTGCGTAGAATTCTCACATATTACATGTCAATACTTGAACCCAACTCGGACTACGAGACATCACATGTTTTCTGAAGAAGTGGAATTTAAGCATACCGGAACCCTACCGTAAGACTCGGAACCGGATCTGTAGAAAGCCGGTAGCGGTTGACGGATGTTCCCTCTGGGCCCAGGTGACTAGTTCCCGAGCACTCAACGTTAAGTCCGTAGAGCTGTGGGCTGTGGTTCTATTAGCGTGAAGATGTCAACTGCATCATAGTGGAGTTCAGGCTGGTGACGTTGACTTTCTTCTGGTCGTACTGAAACTTCCTCTTTCGGACACGCCCGCTTCTGCGAACTCGACCACGCGAATCTAAGCACTCACCATTAGTTCCCACTAGTCAACGACTTATTTGCCCAACAAGCACAGCATCCTCTAGTTTTTTATCTCGTCGTGCGAGGCCTTGTAGCGCCACTATCTTGGCCGTCGCCAAAAAGGACTTCATCACGCGAGGCCGAGGGAGGAGAGCACATGCGTGGCTGCTTGGGGCTTTGTACGCGCTGCAAGGTAAGATTACATGCCCGCCTCGTTCTTAGTGTCGTCCGAATGTCAGACTGACCGCTGGAAGGACGTAACCTGGCTCGGAATCGCGTACACCGTAACAGATACGGAGACTCTACTACGATCAATCCACAATGCTTTGATGACTGGGTTCTCAAAGCTGAAACTTTTGTGCCCGACCCACATTGACTCGAGAAACAGCGTATACAGATCATGACTCGAGGAAACACCGTATACTAAAGAATGTGACACATGACGAAATGCAGGCGCGAATACGCTTGTTATTCGTATACCCCTTGCCGGCTGCCGGTTACGCGTTTCGCAATGCACCATCGCTGGCCAGTGGCTCACACGTCACAACAAAGAAATGCGCCGCGCGAAGCCGGTGTCGCTGAGGCGTGAGAGACGATGTCGTGTCAGCAACCCTCTCTTTGTGCCAAAAGGATGTTGGCTGACAGGGCTGAACCCGCAGTTGCTCGCGTGCTGACTGCAAACCCGGCATCGTTGGCCAAATTAATGACCGGATATGGTGAAAACAGCGATGAGAAAGCAGATCTAAAATAGATGATCGTCGCAACGGTCCAGGAACCTCAGCCACTCCGAGGCTGGCATTTCCCCCTTGGATCTGGCGGACGATGAGGTCAGTCTACTCCTAGCCTATGGCTGGGCGTTTGGTGCGAGACGCACAGCCGCAAGACATTAAGTGGGTCGTTCCGCAGAGTCCCGTTCGAGCAACTCTCCTCATTTAATTGTGAGACTGCTCCGCATTCTGTGGGCGGTTATTCTTTTGGACTGTTCTCTTTGTTGCGTCTCATCCATACCCAGATTATCTTTTGGGCTTCTGAGTATGAAGTATACCTCCTTTCTCACAGCTTCGGCAATTACCAGTTTAGCGAGCTGTACGTGACTTCGGCCCGTCTTTGGCTGCAGGAACCCACTGACGCATGCATAGCTTCGTCCATCGCTGCGCGTGAAGCTCGAGTCGTCCCTCCCACCAATGGCTTAGAATCATGGAAGCGTGCTTCCCCTCAAGCACCAAATGGGTATGCCCCAGGTGTGGTCAACTGCCCTTCGACGCGCCCCAGTATTCGAACCGCCGACCGACTTTCCAACGAGGAAACAGAATGGCTGCAAAAGAGGAGGCCAAACACGGTTGACCCTATGCGCGAGTTTCTCGTACGCGCCAACATCGCAGGCTTCGACGCTGGAGCATACATCGACAACCATAGCAGCAATGTCAGCTCGTTACCGAACATTGCCATCTCGTTTTCTGGAGGAGGATATAGGGCGTTATTGAATGGTGCTGGTGGGCTCGCTGCTTTCGACAGCCGAACAGCAGGCTCGACGGGCAGTGGTCAATTGGGAGGATTGTTACAGGCATCTACCTATGTCTCTGCACTTTCAGGAGGTGGATGGATGGTTGGCAGCATATACGCGAACAACTTCACGTCAGTCCAGAGCATCGTGAACCGGGGCGACAACTCGGACATTTGGCAGTTCCAGAACAGTCTCTTTGTCGGCCCACCTCGCGGCGAAGTTCAGATCTTGTCAACCGCAGACTACTTCGCCAATTTGGTCAACACGGTCAACTCCAAGGTGGATTCGACA